TCTTAAAATCTATTTTTCAAATTGAGCGTTCCATTTAGACTTGACAATTACTGTTTGAACATTGAACTATCGCCATTGCAAGCCCAAAGCACAGCATTGACATATATTATCACCAAAATTGAGTTACTTTCTTTGGATTGTCTGGTCTGGTAAAATCCATTTTGGGTTGGTAACATTTTGAAGTTACAGCCCTGTTGTCTGGCTTGGGTTTTGGCTTACTTCAAACACTGCTAGCATATTGAGCATATTGCTTCAGATGGAACCCAGTTTTACTTTGTGTATCCTGTTACTGAAATAGGTGCACCGAAGTGCTGTGGACTTATGGGTGAGCCAGTTAGTCTGCAGCTATATCAATAATCAGAAAGACAGGCACAAGCTGTTTACAGATCCAGAACGATGGCAGCAACATACACATACGTATAGTCATTCTGTCAATACGCTAATAATCTCACTTCACACAGAAAAATAACACCAAAATCAACAACCAAACCAATTTCCTGCTTTCCACAAAGACAATTATGTCACAGGTGCTATAAAACATCGACACTGTACAGATATAAATCTCATAGAAAATGAATATGGACAGTGTTATAGACACTAAAACATGTCAAGTTGTAAATACCATTATGGTCATAAGGCTCTGTAGCTCACCTTCATGTTAACTTAAAAAAATAACTAGATTAATCAAATGATAGTACAAAGGTAAATATCCGTACAAAAAAAGAAAGGAATTAAAATTACATAGCTTCAAGCTTTGGCAGTCACCAACAGCATGGAAAATATTGTTTCCGATTTTGAAAATGTAAGCTAATTGTCGATGACACATGACAGACAATATGTCAGGAACTTTATGTCAATAAAGCTTTATGTATATTAGCTGGTTTCAAGACTGACAGACAAAAAACGCAACTGAAAAAAAAGAGGTGATTTCAACACAGCTGTTCATAGAAAAAACTGAATAGAAATATTGATACACACATACTTCAAATCAATATTCTAACATAATAAAACAATCAAATACCTTTCAGTTTTGTTTAGCACTTCTATTTTGATTATGGCACAAACCAAGTATTGTACTCCACTAGTTGCAGCACTAAGATAACCACAAGCACCAAATTGTAGGCAACTCATGAGCAATAACAGGCTTAACCATCATGGAATAAAACAAAAAATGAACAAAATTAGAGTCCAGACATTCGGATCAAAGTCAACATCTGCATTTGTGAGGGCTAACGATTTCATATTCCAGCATGGACACACGGACTGGGATTTAATAAAAAAAATAAATAAAAAAAAATTATTACCATTCAAAAAGTTGAAAAAATAAATGAAATCATCCACCACAAAAAAAAAAATTGGCGCCCAATTTGATTTACAATATATGGTTTCTCAGCTATTTATGGTCTCCATACAAATGAATTTTATAAATTTTCAAAATGGATTTGACTTAAAGTGACCTAAAAAAGTATCAACATAGTTTCAAAATATTTTTTAGTTAGGCGAACTGAACATGAAAGAGCCAGACCAATTATATTCCTTGTTTTACGGATCCGGCGGTCATATTTTTTCAAGAGTAAGAAAAAATATAAAAGTTAATTTTCCATGCTCAAAAAATAAAATCCTAATTTTTATTGATCAAAACTGTAAAGTTACCAAAAAAGAGGTTTTTTTAGATTGTGTTTAACCCATATACACTTCATAAATTGCCAAAAGTAAAATACTTCTAGTATTTATTTATTTTTATTTTTATTTTATTTTTCCTTCCTGCCTTTAGGTTTTCTGAGGACAATAATCTGTAAAACAAGAAATAAAACTGGTCTGGCCTAGGCAAGTAGTGTCATCACTAACAACTTCATGTATTTGAGCCAACAATTAGATTTCCCCTTTGACCAAGTAAAACAGAGGCTTCATTTTTATGCAGCTGCCTCGGAATCATGATTACATTGATTGTATTCCTGTAAATAATGACCTCATGACACCTTTTTGCATGGAAAGATATTGAATAAACATTTCCCATACTTTTTTCAAAAAGAAATTCAATCCTTTGCCCTATAATAAACAAATTAATTTTCTTCTGCTCTCTTATGGTTTCCAAACATTTTTTAATTTTGAAAAAAAAAATCCTGAAACTACACATAAGTAGCATTAGGGTCTTGGACAGACCATGAAGTTCCCGACTATTCAGACAGTTGACCAGAAATCATGGAGGAACAAAAGGTCGTGGACGGACAGATGACAGACATGTTTCATGTGATTTAGTTATTTTGGGGCCATTATTACATTTGAGGTAACAATTAATCCTTAAATAATATATATTCTAAAGAATCTGGTATGTACCATCTGACAAATATAAACATTTCATACAAGACTGACTGACTGACTGAGTTTGGTTTTACGCCGCTTTTAGCAATATTCCAGCAACATCACAGCGGGGAATACCAGAAATGGGCTTCACACATCGTACCCATGTGGGGATTCGAACCCAGGTCTTCGGCGTGACGAGCCAACACTTTAACCACTAGACTACCCCACCGCCCCCCACTTCATACAAGAACCTTCACTTACAACGAACTTAAAGGGACAACTAATTTCCGACTGTTATAACCATCGTTCACCATAAACAACTTGACCAAAATAGACAGGTGGCTGGAACTAAAATACTAGTTAATTACATACATTATTTCATATTAGATATATTCCTAATAAACAAATATACTGTATAGTTGACAAAGCATTTTCAGAGAAACAATACTTGGAAATTTTTTTATTGATCATGAATGTTTTGGGGCTATATCTTTTAAGGGCGACTGAGCAGAAAATTTCGTAAAAATATCCCCGCAATTAAACACGATCATTAGCTTTTGGGGTTCAGTGTAGATGCAAGTTTACAGTTTACAGCAAACTGGGCTGTCTTTTTACTTGCCATTTAAAAGACATAAAAATACTGACTTACAGTACACTGACCAAACAAACATGGTAGAACCAATATTTAGAGACGAGTTTAGTTGACTGAAAAATATCACTCACAGTCAGGGTCACCTTTCCAGCGAGTCAACATGATTGGCTGACCTCTCACGTTCCAGGTGACCTTGAACCAAACAAACCAGAAAACATTTTCAAAGCAGGTGAAACTGGCCAGGGATACAAAATAGTGCTTAATTTGCGTGCAATGTATGTCAAATATTGAAATGGCACTGATGAAATATTTTCAATGTGAGCTGGAGGCTGGACTAAAATAACACTGTCATTCATTTAATGGAAAATGTGATAAATATGAACAGCTCAAATGATTCAAAACTTAAATTGGCACACCATCAAACTCTCTGTGGCACTCTCAATCACATCTTAACATAGGCGTTGCCATTTTGAATGCCAGTACAGGGCTCAATTTAGTGCTTTGTTACTTGCACTGATGCAACCCAATATTACAAAGTGCAACCTAGTTATTAGCCTAACTTGCACCAGGTGCAGTTAAATTTTTGAGTGGGTAAACTTCTGAATAAACATCTAAATAATTCAATAGCATATTTCAGTCATTACATATTGCAATAAAAGCTTTGAAAATGGAATTTGGCTGGTGCAACTAGGTTTTTATCTTAGGTTGCACCTGGTGTAAGTTGGTTAACATCTCTTAACATCTCGTACCCTGCAGTACGCACAACACAGGAAATCCAGATTCGGATGATAACATAGTTTGTGGGTTCATTTATGAACAGTTAATGACAGTTAATGCTGCAAATGTGTTGGTTTTTTTCTGACATGGCCAAGCGAAAATGTATCTAGCTAACAAATCAATTTCTCACGTCTATGAAATTAATCACATCTGTGTCACACAGTAACACATCATACCTTTCATTTCAAGCAAACTGAATAACAAGAAATCTGTGATCCATATAAAATAAAGAGCTGCCTAACTTTGCTGTCTAAACACATACAAAATACAATTATCCTTAAACATGTCACAGTAGACTCAGTCCCTCAATACACTATACAAACATTTGTTATTTACAGAAACATGAAATATGTTAGAATTGTCGCTTGTTGAAGATAGTTGTTCATGCCAGTAATCAGAGTTTAACCAAAACAAACACAAAACAAACATCACATGAAAATTCAAACACAGAAACAAAATAGTCAAGACAGTGTTTTGCAATCATAAAGAACAATTATGTATAATTAGTTTTGATGCAAATAGTATGTGAGGCTTAAATTGAGTATCCTCAAAATTATACATAAGAAACCCTGTGTTTAAGCTCTCAGTTCAAAATTTAGAAAAATGCATTTATGTACATCTTTAGTTTTGTGATTCTAAATCCTTGAAGTATTTGAGCCTGTGAAGTTCACTAAATACAATGTATATTTCTAATAATGAAAATATTAATAATCGATATCACTCTCATCCCAAACCCTTCAAAGGTGACAACCTCTATTCAGAGTACTAAACAACATCTCAAACAACAACATACAACAGTAAAGATAAGCTTGAATGTTATTGCCATGGAAATATAACAATTATTATGATGATTGTAACAGTTTAACCAAAGTAATTTGATATAAATATTTTAGGTACAGCTTCTGAGCCACTGCATGATATCCATCCCCACATTTCAGCTAGCCAGCGGTTCCCATTATTTCACAGTCAAACATAGAAATGGTGGCTAGAGTGAGTGAGTATAGTTTTACGCCGCTTCACGCATCACACCAATGTTGGGAATGGAACCCAGGTCTTCAGTACGATGAGCGAAAGCTTTAACCACTTGGCTACCCCCACTGCCCTTGGTGGATAGAGACCATGATGGGAATGGTTTCGACATTTGTGTAGGTTTACTGAAACGCAACCCTGCAGATGTAAAGGGTGCATCTAAAGATGACACTCCTTTCTCATCTTCCTAACAAGCATGTCTAGTCAGATCAATAATACCATGTCATTAAACCTCTTTCATCTGTGTTCCAGAAAAACATTAACTTGATGAATGTATATAATATATGAACACCATGGAGCGACAGGTCAAGTTATACCATGGAGCGACAGGTCAAGTTAAACCATGGAGCGACAGGTTAAGTTCTACCATGGAGCGACAGGTCAAGTTATACCATGGAGCGACAGGTCAAGTTATACCATGGAGTGACAGGTCAAGTTAAACCATGGAGCGACAGGTCCAGTTATACCATGGAGTGACAGGTTAAGTTATACCATGGAGCGACAGGTCAAGTTATACCATGGAGCGACAGGTCAAGTTATACCATGGAGCGACAGGTCCAGTTATACCATGGAGCGACAGGTCCAGTTATACCATGGAGTGACAGGTTAAGTTATACCATGGAGCGACAGGTTAAGTTATACCATGGAGTGACAGGTCCAGTTATACCATGGAGTGACAGGTTAAGTTAAACCATGGAGTGACAGGTCAAGTTATACCATGGAGCGACAGGTCAAGTTATACCATGGAGTGACAGGTCAAGTTATACAATGGAGTGACAGGTTAAGTTATACCATGGAGCGACAGGTCAAGTTATACCATGGAGTGACCATGTTGGTCCAATACATGAGTATGAACAGGATGCTGACAAATCAAACACCTGATTGAGGTGAACCAGGATTTGAACCCACAATCCAGATTTTGGGGATACCCAAGGGAAGCAACTCTGCACAGCGAATTGTGGCACTCTAGAAAACAAGTTCTCTACCCTACTCCACCTGGTTTGAAGCACCCCCACACCCCCAGAACATCAAACACAATTTTAATACAAATTACTAACATTGACATGATACACTGAAAAATATGTGCCTTCAATACATGTCCTTCAACATACGATACATGATACATACAACTTGTATCACGTCACCCAACATGGCACAGTCAGGAAAGCTTAAGGTTTAAAGGAAGAGATGTGAGAGGATTTTCTGCCCCAAACAACAAATCAATCAAAACAACAGGCATACCCTTGTTACCAAGGAAACAACAAGAAATATGTCTAGTAAACAGACTTATGAAAAAGATGGCCGCCCCTGACAATGACCATTTGGTCAATATACTGACACATCTAACATGTCTGCCATTTCATAAAAAATCCTACATGGAAATATACAAAATGTTTGTGCAAATGAACTTAAAACTAACATGTTTAACAACATCAAAGACAGAACTGCAAAAGCGGCAACTTGCCTTTCTCTTCCAATTTGCAAGACATTAACAATATCAATTCCATATTGATAGAAACTGGCAACTTTCTTTTTTAAATTGCATCTACATTTTTGCATCAGCTTTTGCCTCCTCGTCGGGATATACATGTCCTTACCAACAGCATCATTGCAACTTATATGACTTGTTTCTTCAAACTTGCATCAAACACCATTCAAGAAAAATTTGCATTCTAGGGCGATATGTTCTTGATAAGTCCCACAATATCACTGCCAGACTCCCAGGGGTAGATCCGGGCTTTTAGCGACTTCGTTGTTTGATCTTCCTTCATCAGTTTATTAACTTTTCTCCAGAGGGAAAATCCAACACGAGGACAGAGATAATCCTGTTGGCTCAGGGACAACCCCGGACACAGATCATTCGACCCGTCCCCGATGTAGATCACTGTCGAAAAGGTCACACCTTTCTGCTTTCTTTCTTTGATGAATTCTTGAAGGATGTGTCCCTTGCAGAGATTCACAGTGCTGAGTGAGCACCAGTCCTGGGTGTGGTAATACTGAATTGTCAGGAGTCCATTCTGGTCAAACATTGCAGGATTCGTGAAGACTTGAGTAACAGTGTCCTTCAGTCCAAACTTTTCCAGAATCGTATCGATAAAAATTGAATTGGAATCTGAAATGATTACCGTTTCAAACTTGTCACTCTCTTTGATGAAAGCAAAGAGTTCTTCCATTCCTAGAGTTAGCGGGATTGATGACAGACATTCCTTGAAATTGTCTGGTTTTACTCCGTGAACGTGCAGGAACTTGAAGATCTCACCCATGTATTCAATCCAGCCATTGTCACTGTAGAAACCTTTGATTTCCTGGGGAAGCTCCCCATTTGGAGCAAGACGGATCACGAAGAGGTCACTGTTCTCGTCAATCAGTGTATGGTCAAAGTCTAAAGCCAGCAAAATTTTCTCACCCATCATAGATCTGTAAAAGAAAACAAATTAGTCCATTCTCAATACAGTCTGCAATCTTCAAGCCTTCCTATTATCTGACATTTGAACAAACTTATTTATCATTCAAGACTGGACCAAAGTTTGGACCATATGATCCTGTGATTAACTGTGTGTGTGTGTGCAATAATCCATGTGATTTAGCTGTGAAGACACTCATTTTCATATTTGGTTGAAAATGTCTATACACTGTCACTATATAAAATTGCTTTCAACATTGCTTTTCAAACTATTTCTGCAATTAAAATGAATATAAACACATAAATATATCAGTAACTACATTTCAATGCTTCTACACATGCAATCTGAATATTGTTTCCATGCATAATTGTTAGAATTACTTGTCAGAACCAAAGATACCATCTAAACCAAGAGAACAATTTTCTGATGCAATAAATTACTTAAAAAATACACACTACACCAATAATATGTGACTTAGTTTCATTTTCTTCATCCATTCATTATGACAAGTTATCATGCTTGAGATAACATCAAAACTGACAGTAGTTGGTCATTTCACTTAGCAGATAAATGCATAAGTATTGTACATGAAAATATATTTAATAAAATTACAGTAACAAATTGTGCACAAATATGTAACATGCATGTAAATAAAACTGTCAGTATTCAGACTCCCATCAACTTGAAAACAGATAGGCCAACGTAGGTTTCAGCATTCTGTTATCGTGGTATTTTATGTTTTCTGACGCTATGCATCTTCGAACGTCAGTGCTTACTCTGGCCATAATGAGGCAACTTGCGTTTAAGATAAAGTTGTCTTTAATATGTTAGTGACATGTTTTACAATTGTTGCACGATAACAGAACAATGAAATGTTTTCAGTAATTTCTTTAAATACTGTGGTATTTACTTTATAGGTAACAGTGATCACAATAAGGGCGTGGCAGAAACTGTGAGAGAGGCTAAGCTGTTTCCCAGGGATTGACCAGATATAACCAGAGTTGTTCTTCAGACTTCTCTTCTGGGCTGCTCTGCTGGTCTTGTCTGCTGGACAGTGTTCGGCACCTCTCTGCTGACTTCGCTGACAGTGCTGTTTATATAGGAGCTTCCCCACTGTAACGGGCTCTGACCCCGACCATTTTGTCACAGGCCACACAAATTAGTGTGACAGCTGCCGATCAGTAATTGCCACTTTATTAATTGACTTGTTGTGTCACAGGGCACACGTATCAGCTGCCAATCAGAAATTTCAACTTTCATTAACCAAAGCAATTAGCAGAGACTCCTTCACTTAACAGCACCATCAGTGATTTGTTGGCCGATTGTCGTCTCCATGGGGACAAAAAGCCACCCTGACAAAAACCACCCGGACAAATGCCACCTAGGACAAATGCCACCTAGCACCAAAATAACAGACCAAGCTGCCAAACTTGGACTCCAATCAAAAAACAAAATCAAAATACCTTTACTCCAAAACAGACCTAACAAATACAGTTAACAGTATAATAATAAATAAATTCAATCATAACTGGCAAATAATAAGAAAACATTATCCACTCTACCAAATTCAACAAACACTAAATACAAAATGTAAAAATTATCACCAAACACGCCAAATTGATGTTGCCATAACCAGACAAATCATAAATTAATTCAAAAGAGTTTTCTCTTTTTATCAACTTCAGTTTTTTAAATCTTTTATATGTTTATCACTATTCACATAATAAATATGTTTTTAAACATGGGTTGGTTGAAAAACAATGCAATAATAATAACAATAACCATTCCCTACACTACATCTATATTAAATTCCAAATCTATATTACTCTTTACCAATTTCATATTTTCAACTCTTTTAATTCTGCCTCCCATTCAAATTTCCCTTAATACTCAGTTGTTGTTCTTTTGGGTAGTAACACCACTCTTTCAAAATTTCTATTTTTTGTTCCCCCTCATTTCCTAATAAGTGTACTTCCCCGTCACCGAAATACTTTAGTTGTGCGTGCAACGTTAAATAAAGCAAATAACTAACTAACTGTCCATTTCACTTCCAATATGGACAACCAAGAATATGTTTCATCGCAGAAAGGAGTATGAAAGCAATATTAATAAAAGTGTGAATGAAAAATGAAAAAAGATGAGAATGAAAGCAATAATGAAAGTGTGTAAATGAAAATGAATTATCATGCAAATACATCTGGGAAACATGATATTGTGTTGGTGGTTTAATTTTTTATTTGGGTGGCATTGTCCTAGGTGGCATTTGTCCTAGGCGGCTTTTGTCCGGGTGGCATTTGTCCTAGACCCGTCTCCATGATAAGCAAGCCTGCCTGTCTATACAGCCTCCGACCAACACAAGCAATAATCGAGAAAACGGATGTTGTTAAGCTTTTGAAAACCTAGCCGAGAGCCGCGATGCGGTCCTATACAGTCAAGACATGCAGTGTCATGTCTTGACTGTATAGGACCGCATCGCGGCTCTCGGCTATTAGTCTATCAGTAAATTAGAAGCATGAAAGAGTTGATACTCACTTTATAGACAGCTAAAATTGTGGTGACAGATGCAACAATAGCATGACTTCATGCACTGGACGTATATGCACAAAAGTAACTGGCTTGTATTCGTCTCACGAATGGATGGTTCCACTGTCGATATTTAACGTTAGAGTTACCTACTCTTGGCCCAAGGTCAAATAAACGGAAGTGACGTACTGGATACATGGATGTTTGCCTAACTACCACAAAGAGTCTCCTATGGCAGAATGTTGTGTGAAAATCGTTAATGTCAGTCGACTTTAAAAAGTAAAAACAGAAGTCTGAAAGTAACCATGTCTGCCAAAGTGCTGCACGGTCGTAGAAAGGGACAAGAAAGAGGTAAATCTTTAAAGAGTTCAGCCAGAATAATAATTTTGAGGGCGTCTATTTTGACTATTTTTTATGTTATTGAGACTGACAGGGTGAACGACTTGAAATTATATCCCCGCAATCCAATAATTTTCATATTTAATCTTATTGAAAATCTGCCTAATGATCGGGTTAATTTTCGTACACGGGCATGGGTATTTTGATCAGAAGTTTATGTTTTTCGAGTTGATTGTTCATTCATTGTAGATAGCGAAAACTGCCATGAAAGCTTCCTGTACAGGGCAGTGTAGCATGATAGTATAATAAATATACAATTTCTTGTATTATTTAACCTAAGTCCCCCACTGTTTAACTGTTTAATTGTGGAAGGCAAAATTGATAAGAAAGATTGAGTGAATAGAAAATAATAGTGAAAACTAAGTAAATATTGAGTTATATTTTTACAAATGTGTATTACAATGCAGCTCAGTTATTGTAATATACATGTACATCAAAACTATCAGTTAGATGTATCAACGTACCTCAAGAAATTATATGCTGAGGGCAATATATGGTGCATATGTATCTAGTAGCCACCATTTGAGTTGACAAATTCAGTTCTGAAGTTGCCAAGGAGATTACCTTACATCAAAATATATTGGTGTCGGAAGACTATATTTTCTTGTGTATACAAAGCAGCTACAAACTTTGGGCTTAGCTGAAAGTGTGTGTTGCACACTCAAACCTTTCATCGTTTTGTTCTGGATCAATTTTGTTTTGTTAAAACCTCCGTGTATCATTAGATATTGTAATAGGTTATTAGCCAGGGTCATTTAAAAGATTTATTGTATTGTTTTTTCACAGTAGTCCTTTCTGAAACTCTGTTGTCTTTTTTCGGAAACTCTGATTTTTTTAAGTTGTGTTAATTCCTGAAATTATGCTTAGGTTGACCAATAAAATGTGAAGGAGTTTTAAGTCCAAGCTCACAAAGGTCTTTTTGTATTACCATTTGTGAAGGAGTAAATAGTGTTTGAAGCCTTGTCAACAACATGTAGCTAATCACTGTGATTATCATAAGAAGCAAGGAAAAATAGCTGTATTTGTGGCAATTTACGCTTTATGAATTGAGTTTTATGACAGATATTCCTGTGGAATATTTAAATGGTACCTCCATCTCCTTCAAATCTTCAGCATATAAACAAAATCAAACCATTACATGTTTTTGATTGTTTCTGAGCAATATTCATTTACAGGGACGTACCAAGCCAGATTGTTTCGTGTAAGCCTGATAGGTTGCAAAGCTGTATATTTATATAGTATTGAGGGCTTGCCCAACCTTTTTAGCAACAATCATGTGTAAGCCCAGGCTTTTTTGTATAATGGTAGCTACGCCCCTGATTTAGGCCAAGGTATATCTCCTTGATATTATTATGCCCAACTTTGCAAATTCTTCGATGTATGTTGTTACAGGTGGTCAGAAAATGCCCATCGAGCCACAAAATGCCACCTTACAGTTACCAAGTGGCAATGACCTACGGCAAGTCACAGTGTTGTCCAAAACTGACTGGGAAAGAATTCAGCGAGAGTTAAACAGGAGGCAGATTGAGGAGGATCGGATCAGGAGAATCACAGAAGAACGTGAAGAACAGAGAAATAGATCAAAAGAAATGGTCAAAAACTGGGGCAATACCATTGCTGTAAGACAACATTTACATAATCTTTAGGAATATTTACATGCATGATCAAGATAATGAAACACTTAAAAATGCAACAATAATTTCATAGAATGTACATAGAAATTGAAAACACATTAAGATTGTGTTTTACTCTGCCTGAAACAGTGCATTGTTGACTTTATTATATGTTGTGAAAATCATGAATCATGTGAATATGTAAGAGGACAAGTTAGTATGTTTGTTTTCTATCACTCCACTGACAAAGAAGTTAAAGCTATTGGTAGCTCTATATGGTTTTGCCGAAACCGTTCTGCATACTTTGACAGTCAGCAACTCTAGAAATTGTCAATCTAGTCAAAAACAATATGGTGAAATTAGGAGATAAATATCATGTGTTGGCCAATTTCCGGGTGTTATTGAGTATTTGAAGCAAGGGAATTCATTTGGAACCGACGGCGTCAGCCAGAGGTTTCAAATGGAATATTCCCGTGCTTCAAATACTCAATAACACCCGGAAATTGGCCAACACATGATGTTTATCGACATTATAAACACAAAAGTAAACCAAAAGGTCCACACACGTTTTTGTGTCTGCAATCATTGACATCGTGTACGATTACAGCAGTGAAATGTCATCAACCGGCCGTTTCTGCTGTCTCTCATGGTAACATCTGGAATTGCTCATTTGTGACATCATTCAGACTTTACGTCACGATATGATTTGAATGACATCATCACAGCTGATGACGTAACAATACAATGGTGTGAGCGATGTTTGTATGTATTAATACGCAGCGAATTTCCGGGAATCGAATACCATTTGATCACGTTTTTCAACCAATCAGATTAAAGAACACAGTGACTTTTGGTTTACAATTCATATGTATGTGCTGCTTAGTCCTGTTACAATTTACTCACTGATTCAATGAATCAAACAACATCCCTTGATAATGAATTCAAGTCATTATTCATGGTCAGTAGAATCTAATATTTACAAGTAGGTTTAAGAGGGTGTTTTTATTGGTAACTCGTTTGTTTTTCAAAGTGAGATACGCAAAATGAAATATATCCAAGACGTAAGCAGCATAACTGTTGATATATTTAAGTTGGCCCCTTACGACACTATCGGCAGGCTATAAGGAGCATTGTTTGCGTGTGTTTTTTTGTTTTATAGAAAATGTCAATGAAGTATTTCAACTTACACATTTACATGACATGTTTGCTATCTTAATTCCTAGCAAATGAACACAAAGTATTCATGAATAAATATTCATGTTCGTTACTATACAGTCGGGCACCGTTGTGTTGAACTCTGATAACTCGATATCTCCGTTGTCTCAATATGACATCTCGGCAAAATCCTTCATAATTTATTATTATTCAAGCTCTTTTAACTCCATATGGATGTCTCGATATTTCGGATATCTCTATATAATTTCATGGTCCCATCAAGCAAAATTACCCAGTTAACTTGATATTTGCAAAGAAACCCGATATTCGCCTACCTGTTATGGACAAGTATCCCTCTGAGCTGAAGTTGTTTCCACAAGTTTACACACGGTGCAGCATGAATCAGAGGGATGTGTAAACTAATTAGAGCTAACTGATTTGAAGGTGTCACTTGTTTGTTATTTAATTAGGATTATTTAAAAAGGAATTAATTAGGAAGTACTCACTGTTACGACTAAACACGACTGATAACGGATTGTAGTTTCGATCAAAACATACTGAGAAGCATTTTGTTTTCTCTCATAGTGATATGTGATTATATGCCCTGGACAGATGTCTCGAAGTGTGGATAACTCGATATTCTTTCTTGGTCCCATGAATATCGAGACACCGGTGCTCGACTGTATATTCATGAAACATATGCTCGCCTCATAGTGTATTTGTTGCAGCCCTAGTGCTGTTCTCTACTGAACAGCTTTGATTTTGACTTGTCACTACTCAATTGTAAAGACTGTCCATACTGTGTTCCATGAGAAACAGGATTGATTGGTGGCCATATTTGATGACTTGGTGGATGCCTGTTATGGTATCCAAAATGTGTCGTTCGTTGCTTATAATGTCAGTCACTGGATTGGATTATTAACTTGAAATACAAGTTACTTAAATGCAGACAAAGATTCTCAACATATGCATGTTTGTTATTTATCTAGCATGTTTTAGGGGTGTTTTTTTCAGCAAAGTTTAGGTCAGGATGTTAAATTTACCGTAACTGTGCATTTAAATCAGGGCCAGAGACAGCGTAAATTGGAGGCGCGGAAAATTCGTGAGCGGAGAGAAGAAGAAGAACGAGTGAAAGTTGATTTGGAGGAAGCTCAATATCAGGCTGCACAAAGAAAAGAAGCCATTGAGAAGGCTAAAACCCAGCAGTACTATCAAACAGACAGAGTCAAGGCTTTCCATGTGAGTTTCCATGCAACATACCCGTAAACCGTTCCTAGGCCACATTTCTTTAATTATTACTATTACTTTATTTAAATTGAGTGCAAAGGCAAATGTGTTGGATCTTACTCATTTCTGGTCACTGGAACAAATAGGGGATTTCCACTTTTTCACATTCCATATTTTAGTGTTGGCTGGTTCGTAAGCCATGTTTTATTAAGGTCTGTCTGAATGCAAAATTGACTTTGATGGAAACTTTTCACTGAAATGAGTGATTCTTTACTTCATCCACCCACATTTGGCCCATTCCTTTAAACATAATGCAAATATCTTTATGCAAACACTGTCTAAATTTAAACTCATTTTTGAATGATTTCAACTGACCAATCATTATCTAAACCGACTCCTTTTCAAATGATTTTCAAACGATCACTCTAAACCGACTCCTTTTCAAATGATTTTCAACTGATAACCAATTTCTAAACCGACTGCCTTTCCTCTTCCAGGGGGCGGGCGCTGCTGCTCACGGAGGTGTTGAAGGAACGTGAAGCGCAGTTGGAACTTAAGCAGCTGAAAGAGCGAGCGAGTGAGGGCAAGGATCAGGAATGGCTGGAGCTACAACGTAGAGAGTATGAGGAAGGAATCCAGAAGGATCATGCGAAGGCTGCAGCCAGAATCGCTGCTGCAAGTGAAACAGCAGCTTTTCAGACAGCACAGTAAGCTAAATCTTTTCATATAATTGTGTATTAATTGAGTAACTTTCTTCTACATTAGGTGCCACTCTGAGATATAACTGAAAAGCTACATGTGTCATCTAAGGCTCACAATTTGCTGTGCAGAGTTGTGTCCCTTGAGTTCACCAGGAACCTGTGATCATTGGGTGGAATCGTGGCCACCCTCATTTTGTTTCTTGGTTTGCCGTGAGCACTGTATCCATGCTGATGCCCACCCCAGTTTCACCAAAGTGGTAAATTCAAAAACCTGCATCAATTCAGATTTTCTTTCCACATTAGGCCAGACCAATTTTATTTCTTGTTCTACGGATCCGCCGGTCATATTTTTTCAAGAATACGAAAAAAAATTAAAATTAATTTTCCCAACTCAAAAAATAAAATCCTCATGTTTTTATTGGCCAAAAATGTAAACTTATCCCCCCCAAAATTTTGATTGTTTTTTGCTCCATATACACTTCATAAATTGCCAAAAATAAAATACTTTTAGTATTTAAAAGGAATATTACTTTGACTGGTGATTTTTATTATTTATTTGTTTCCCTCCTGCATTTAGGTTTTCTGAGAACAAAAATCCATAAAACAAGAAATAAAATTGGTCTGGCCTTAAGCAGACATGCAATGATGTAACTGGGATACTGTGGGCAGTGTTATATATAACACGCTCACTCACGCATTTAATCTCTATAACTCGAATTGTTCAAAAGTGTGATAGGGGCGGTGAGGTAGCCTTGTGGTTAAAGCGTTCGCTCGTCACGCCGATTCCCCACATGGGTACAATGTGTGAAGCCCACTTCTGGTGTTCCCTGCCGTGATTTTGCTGGAATGTTTCTAAAAGTGACCTAAAACCATACTCAGTCAGTCAAAAATGTGATAAAATCCTAACTCACACATGTCACATGTCTCTCAGATAAATACGATTTCTATCCCATAAAGCTGCAGTAAGTGAAGCCACGGGCGGATACAGCTTTTTGGGAAAGGGGGGGTTGCACACTATTGAGAAAAGGAGGGGTGTACACTTCATTTTCACCCGAGTTTCAATGGTCATTTAATAAACTTCCAGGGCAATAGGGGGATGCCACCCCTGCATCCCCCCTCTGGATCCGCCTATGTGAAGATGATTTCTGTTTCCCCTGTCTATATGTTGCTGAAAGTGGGTGGAAAGTGCACGTCCTGATTCTATTGCAGGATAAGAGAGCACATGATTCAGACAGAGAAGGAAGTTGCTGATGATTGTGTTGAGGGCAGTGAGCTGAAGACCCTGGCCATGCAGCACCAGGTAGAGAAGGAGAGGCTCGAGAACATCCGTCGGGATGAGAGGAAGCAGATGATGCTGGACAATCTGCAACAGCAGCAGGATGTCATCAAGATGAGGGAGATCAACCAGATGCAGGAGGAGGTCAGTGTAGGCCATGGGTAGAGGTGTGGCAGCAGGAGGAGGTCAGTGTAGGGTGGGGCCATGGGTAGAGGTGTGCCAGCAGGAGGAGGTCAGTGTAGGCCATGGATAGAGGTGTGGCAGAAGGAGGAGGTCAGTGTAGGGTGGGGCCATGGGTAGAGATGTGGCAGCAGGAGGAGGTCAGTTTAGGCCATGGGTAGAGGTGTGGCAGCAGGAGGAGGTCAGTGTAGGGTGGGGCCATGGGTAGAGGTGTGGCAGCAGGAGGAGGTCTGTGTAGGGTGGGGCCATGGGTAGAGGTGTGGCAGCAGGAGGAGGTCAGTGTAGGGTGGGGCCATGGGTAGAGATGTGCCAGCAGGAGGAGGTCAGTGTAGGCCATGGGTAGAGGTGTGGCAGCAGGAGGAGGTCAGTGTAGGGTGGGGCCATGGGTAGAGATGTGGCAGCAGGAGGAGGTCAGTTTAGGCCATGGGTAGAGGTGTGGCAGCAGGAGGAGGTCAGTGTAGGGTGGGGCCATGGGTAGAGGTGTGGCAGCAGGAGGAGGTCAGTGTAGGGTGGGGCCATGGGTAGAGGTGTGGCAGCAGGAGGAGGTCAGTGTAGGGTGGGGCCATGGGTAGAGGTGTGGCAGCAGGAGGAGGTCAGTGTAGGGTGGGGCCATGGGTAGAGGTGTGGCAGCAGGAGGAGGTCAGTGTAGGCCATGGGTAGAGGTGTGGCAGCAGGAGGAGGTCAGTTTAGGCCATGGGTAGAGGTGTGGCAGTAGAAGGAGGTCAGTGTAGGCCATGGGTAGAGGTGTGGCAGAAGGAGGAGGTCAGTGTAGGCCATGGGTAGAGGTGTGGCAGCAGGAGGTCAGTGTTGGCCATGGGTAGAGGTGTGGCAGCAGGAGGAGGTCAGTGTAGGCCATGGGTAGAGGTGTGGCAGCAGGGGGAGGTCAGTGTAGGCCATGGGTAGAGGTGTGGCAGCAGGAGGAGGTCAGTGTAGGCCATGGGTAGAGGTGTGGCAGCAGGAGGAAGTCAGTGTAGGGTGGGGCCATGGGTAGAGGTGTGGCAGCAGGAGGAGGCCAGTGTAGGGTGGGGCCATGGGTAGAGGTGTGGCAGCAGGAGGAAGTCAGTGTAGGGTGGGGCCATGGGTAGAGGTGTGGCAGCAGGAGGAGGTCAGTGTAGGGTGGGGCCATGGGTAGAGGTGTGGCAGCAGGAGGAGGTCAGTGTAGGGTGGGGCCATGGGTAGAGGTGTGGCAGCAGGAGGAGATCTGTGTAGGGTGGGGCCATGGGTAGAGGTGTGGCAGCAGGAGGAGGTCAGTGTAGGGTGGGGCCATGGGTAGAGGTGTGGCAGCATGAGGAGGTCTGTGTAGGGTGGGGCCGTGGGTAGAGGTGTGGCAGCAGGAGGAGGTCAGTGTAGGCCATGGGTAGAGATGTGGCAGCAGGAGGAGGTCAGTGTAGGGTGGGGCCATGGGTAGAGCGATAGGAGTGGCAAACTAGTACTGTCATGAACCCACATGCTAAACTTGTCACTTTAACATTCACTGTTAAAGGAACATTCCATTGTGATAATGCTACCCACATACATGGTAAATTACAACTGATGAGTGTATGATTTGTTTGTCTCTAGGAGGAAGATGAGGAGTGCAGAATATTCGCTGCAGCCAAGAGGAAGATGATGAAGCTGCGTGCTGAGAAGGAGAAACATATACACAGGTAGGAACATCCTGTCCATTTTCATCTGCAGACACTGGTACTGATGTACAAGTGATGGACAATTTACTGTCAACATACTAAGTGTCAGCTTGGCAGATTTGTTGCCCTATTAGTTGACTAATTGTGTGGATGACAGCCTGAGACCCTGTGGATTCAATGATTGCCTCCTTGCATAACTTCTGCCTTGGTCTTGTACCTTTGTCTGGTGTCATGGTCTGGTGCAAAGTCTGTTGTCATGGTTTGGTGTCATTATCTGACACCATGGTCTGGTGCAGTGATCTGGTGTCATGGTCTGGTGCAGTGATCTGGTGTCATGGTCTGGTGTCGAGTCATGGCCTGATGCAATGATCTGGTGTAATAGTTTGGTGCCATTGTCTGAAGCCATGGTCTGGTGTCATGGTCTCATGTAATGGCCATAGTCTACTGCCATGGTCTGGTGTCATGGTCTGGTGTAATGGCCATGGTCTCATCTAATGGTATACTACCATGGTCTGGTGTCATGGTCTCATGTAATGGCCATGGTCTCATGTAATGGTCTAGTGCCATTGTCTGGTGGCATGGTCTCATGTAATGGCCATGTTCTCTGATGTAATGGTCTACTACCATGGTCTGGTGTCATGGTCTCATATAATGGCCATGGTCTCATGTAATGGTCTACTGCCATGGTCTGGTGTCATGGTCTCATGTAGTGGCCATGGTCTCATGTAATGGTCTAGTGCCATGGTCTGGTCTCATGGTCTCATGTAATGGCCATGGTCTCATGTAATGGTCTAGTGCCATGTTCTGGTGTCATGGTCTCATGTAATGGCCATGGTCTGATGTCATGGTCTACTGCCATGGTCTGGTGTCATGGTCTCATGTAATGGCCATGGTCTGATGTCATGGTCTACTGCCATGGTCTGGTGTCATTGTCTCATGTAATGGCCATGGTCTCATGTAATGGTCTACTGCCATGGTCTGGTCTCATGTTAAGGTATAACAGGTGTAGAATAGTTAAGGCTATACCATGTCACATCCTCAGGTCAGTTCTTCATGTAAACAACATAACAGTGATGAAACAGTGCCAGGAATGACACTTGATGTTGCAGAGAGAAGCAGCAGCACCTGGAGAAGATCCGTGAGAAGCTCGGTGCTCAGATGAAGGAGAAGCTGGATGATGAGGATGAACGCATCAAGCGCGCAGAAGAGGAGATCGAGCAGAAGCGAGCTCTTGACGATGTAGAGAAGAGCAAGAAGATTCACAAGATGATCCAGGAGTCGGCTGAACACAGAAACAAACAGGTAACAATGCGAGGATTTACTTCAAGGTGCTGTGTGTTTCTCACTTCCCTTCCCATTATACAGATGTGAGTGAGTGAGTGATTTGGGTTTTAACCATTAGGCTACACCACTGCCGCTGTATCATAGTGTAGTCAAGCCCGGAGTGTGACCTATGACACAGTCACTGGTTACAACTTGACATGTAATCTTTAGTGCTGGAGTTATTGATCAAATACTCGTCCACTCGATAGATCTTGCTTGTGTCAATGATTATCAATGAGCTCAGGAGACCCATCGATATTCATAAGAATGAACATCAAATTAACTTTCAAAAGGTATGTTTCTTATTGTTATGTTTATTAAATCAAGACAGAAACAATAGATGCAGTTTCTTGGGGGACACCTCACTGTGCCGGCAGTTTCAGTCAGCCATGGTAGATAGATAAACACATGGGATCAACTATAGTCTGTTGCAGTAAAGTAGACTTTACTAATTAAGAAAAACTAAAATACTTTGTTCACATAATTAATTCATGTCATTGTACACATTGTACACATTGTACACATACATGCATGTATTAATAACATACATAACATAATATTTACTTGACATTTTTCTTTACACATTGACAACCCAAGCAAATGTGACACACATCGCCAGGATGGTTTGTAAATATCACGACATGGCGTGACGAAGTGGTTGGATGTGTTGATTGTTGCCGGACAGTTCTTTCTACAGCAAAGCCAGTGCACAATTTATATACATGGCAAAACTTGCACCTACCTCTCAAAAATACTCACTTGTAAACATATGAGTTTAATCAATGACATTCATCCAAAGTGTTCATCTAACATATACCCCTCATAATCTGACATTAATCAAACAGTGTTCACACTGTGAGAACAGTTCACGCCACATGGCAACTTTAATTAAACAGGCTATAACCAGAAATGCAGTGAGCTGTGGCCATTAATCCCTTACAACATACAAGGTGCAGGCACAGTGAGGTTAAACTGTTTCTTGACCCGTAAAACTGCAGTGCAAACAACTAGGGCTGTGATGATTCACCCAGACCTTGATTCAATTCAATTTTCGATAATGGACCCTCGATTCGATCATTTTCCAGTTGTCATTCTTTATTCAAGTAAAAGCATCAGATTTCATAGACTCTCATAGTTTATTAAACAAAACATATCACACTGAATATTTTTTCCAAGATTTGACTAGGAAATCAGGAATGTAAATGATGTAACATTTTTGAAACAAATAAAGTATGATGTTTAAACACAGAACTGCACTTTTCACTTTCTTGTCCCCATGTCAAAGACCATAAACGTTAATAGAGTCAAAATTTCAAAAGTTAAATGTGTGGAAATAATTTAAATAGATATTCAAATATCGAATCGAAATAGAGATAATGGTTATCGAAACTCGAAACTAAGGTGTCAGATTAGATTTTCGATGAATCGAACGGAATCGTTGCAGCCCTATAAACAACACTCGAGTACACAAAGTAAAGTTCTTTGATCGTCTTGATCGTGGTGTGAATCAGTGGATGTGTTGGTGGCACAGTGTTATCATTGTGTCCTGTTATTGCCCACATTAGATCTGTGGTGGGGTTTATGATTACATTCGATTATTGATTGATTACTGAGCTCTGATTATCGATTTGCATTTAGCCAGCACTTGTAATCTTAAACACAATTTGTCTTTCTATGTCTGAGGTTATTCAAAGTTTTAGCCACAAGCAGAAATGGAAAATTTAATCAAGTTGATTTGCCCAATGTAATCTGTTTATATGGCTGTCAGTTTTAGACAGCATACAATCCTTATCCCTGATGCAGGTGTGAGTCTTTTCTCTTAATATTTATAGTCTTTAATGGTTCCTATCTTGGCTACTTTCAAAGTGAGTGAGTGAGTGAGTGAGAATGGTTTTATACCGCTTTTAGCAATATTCCAGCAAAATCATGGCAGGGACACCATAAATGGGTTTCACACATTGTACTCATGTGGGGAATCGAACCCGGATCTTCGGCGTGACGAGCAAACGCTTCAACCACTAAGCTACCCCACTGCCCCTAATCTCAAAGCAGCTGTTACCTTGGCTACTCTCTAACCCCATGTATTTGTCTGTAGATGAAGGAGCATGAAGAGATGAAGAAGCATGAGCGACGTGAGGAACTTGAGATGGTCCATCTACGAAAAGCTGCTGATGAAATTTTCCAAAGAAATGAGGAGGAGAAGCAGCTAAGGAAGAGGACCAATGCTGCTGAGCTGAAGGACTTCCATCAGAAGCAGTTGGTGAGTGTTTTAAATACTTACTCTAAGGAGTACATGAGTGGGATGGTTTTAGCAGTGTTCCAGCGATATCATGGCGGGGGACATCAGAAATGGGCTTCACACATTGTACTCATGTTGGGAATCGAACCCGGGTCTTCAGCGTGATGAGCAAACGCTTCAACCACTAGGCTACCTCAGATACATCAATGGGTCATCAATCTCCATCCGACTATCGGGGAAAAAGGCTGATCTCAAATGAAGTGAATGAATTTGTGAGTGAGTTTAGTTTTATGCCGTACTCAGCAATATTCCAGCTATATGGCGGCAGTCTGTGAATAATCGAGTCTGGACCAGACAATCCAGTGATCAACAGCATGAGCATTGATCTACGGAATTGGGAAGCGATGACATGTGTCAACCAAGTCAGCGAGCCTGACCACCCGATCCCATTAGTCGCCTCTTACGACAAGCATGGATTGCTGATGATCAATTCTAACCTGGGCCTTCACGGGTCGAAGTGAATATGTATTGGAGTGTCCATGTTAAACTGTGGTATGGTATCTCAGTGAGCGAGTAGCGCTGGTATTGGCATACAACCTGCGATACGATACATCACGATGCTAAAATTATAGTCACGACGATATATTGCCATGGTATTGTGAACTGAAACTGCGATACGATACGAATCCCGATATAAGGGTGGCCATACCATACGTATCACGATACGTAACACCAACTGTAAAACACCTTAAGATCAAAACAAAACCATCTTAAAGTATTTCGTCAAATTCCGCCAGCGTTTGTCAATGTTCATTCGGACGAGATAATTAAGTTTATACACGGACTTTGTGAATGTTAATAACATGTGGGTGCTATGTCTGACACAATTCTTGAGGCAAGAATTTCCGTCAAAACGTGTACTTATGAAGGGAAAATAAGTAAGCAAATATTTTAATCATCAAACAAAAGTAAGTCTTTTTTTCTTGACAGATATTGCGATTCAGCAATATTCAAAGTTAAACATCGATGTATTGTGGCCCATTTGTAGTATCGTATCGGGATATACGACAATGTAAAACTTTGTATCGATTCACTGTATCGGCGGCCCATGAATCGATGCATCGATGTGTATCGATGAATCGTCACACCACTCACTATGAGCGAGTGCTTTCTTTGGCATGACATTCAACCACTTTACATATCACCTCATCATTGCTAGTAATGAGACTCACATGGTAGTAATGAGACTCACATGGTAGTAATGAGACTCACATTGCTAGTAATGAGACTCACATTGCTAGTAATGAGACTCACATTGCTAGTAATGAGACTCACATTCAGGACTTGGATGTGTATACACTGGTGGGATGACATAGTTGTATTGACATAGATTGTAGCTCTGTAGAAGTTCATTATTGCAGACACTTGAAGAGAGAAAATAAATTCCGAACCTCATTGATGCATATCGGTAATTATTTCAGAATGACCGTCGCATCATTGAGTCCATGATCCGCCAGGACCAGTTGGCACTGGACAAAGCCAACATGGACCTCCTGGACATTGAAGAACGGCAGTTCCAGGAGTACGCCAACAAGGTGATTGACCACTGCGAGAAGGGTGGTCGCAACGTGTACCCGCTACGTAAGGCAGCCAAGCAGGGAGCTGGGGGAGGCGCAGGACCAATATTTGCAGGGAAGGGAGGAATCCGTCCTAGCTACATGGCCTGTGACAAGACCGGTGTTCAGATGCCTCACTACCAGAGGGACTCCACCAACGAGACCAAGGATCTCATTAACGCCCACGGCAACACAAAGAAACGGATGGGTTTTGTGTGGTGAACACGTCTAATGTTGAACCTTTCTGAATGAATATAATAAAAGATTACTCGAAATTGAATACATTTAATGGTCAGTTTTTTTAAGAAATCTTGGGCCAATCCCACTAAGCAGTGTAGTGTAATGACTGGCTAAGTGTTAAAGTCTATGTTACATTGTTGGAGTCATGCTAATATTTAATTTTGTGGGACTGGTCTTTGATTATTTTATCATATTATTGTGACCATGTTTGGGCATTTAGGGAAGTCTTTTGTCAGTTTATTTCCAAATGTTCAATTCTATTTATTTTTCAATGTGACATAAAACCCAACAGCCTTATACATTTCACAAGCCTCCTCCTGTACATTCACCAACCAGTATGTAGCGACGTTATTTGTGATCTTGTTACATCTTGGTACCACAGTGGTCTCTGACATTTCCAATGTTGTATCTATACTCGTTTGTCCTTTTATCCTTGTGAAACTCTCTCGTGTGGAAATTCGATATTTGAATTAATACATTTGAAAAGTATATTTTGTGCTTTATAAACCATAAACCAACTGGCTTTTCAGTAAAACTTTGTACATATTGAATATCCTCCTGTGACCATGATTACTCTCAAGATTTTATCAACTGTTTTTCTCAGTGGGTCATGTGTGAATTCGTTAAAACCAGGGAATGTTTTCCACTATTTTTCGCATTGCTGCATCAATATTTTGTCTCTACATCAATACTGATGTAGTGGATGCGTAGCGGAATGGCCGTTTATTGAGTGTCGGAAACACTAGAGACCTGTAGTACTACAGCACAGTGTGTGTATCAATACATGTGTGAAGTTGGTGGAGCCTCAGCACCTGTATACAACAAACTGTGATATCAGCTGTCATCTCTGGATAAGTGGTAAATAAATCTCCTTGCCAAGCTGGGTAAGTGAACATCAAATAGTTTATTTCCTTTGTTTTACTACATCCGGAGTTGACTGTACTTGTAAAATAACTCTCAATAAAATATATTAACTGGATTTCAGAGTTTTCATAAGTTATTTTCTTAACATTTTGTTTTGTTTGTTTGTTGTTTAAGTCTGCACTTAGCAATATTCCAGCTATATGGCGTCGTTCTGTAAATAATCGAGTCTGGACCACACAATCCAGTGATCAACAGCATGAGCATCGATCTACACAATTTGGGATACAATGACGTGTCAACAAAGTCAGCGAGCCTGACCACCCGATCCCGTTAGTCGCCTCTTATTACAAGCATGGGTTACTGAAGATCAATGCTGACCCGGATCTTCACAGGTCATTGGGAAGAGGAGACAAGTATATATCACTCGTCTAAATCACTGCATTCATTTTGAACCGACAGAGACACCCCCTCACAAAGCACTGTTTATAATAGACCAGACATTGTGCAAATTGCTTTACAAAAACTTGTTCTTCAGATCCATCAAATACAGAAATAATGGGCAAATGATGATTTTAAAATCATTGGATTATGTTGCTGATCCAAAATATCAAAAAAATTAAACTGAGTCTTATAAACTTACATTAGGTGGAAATATATGTAAGTTCATCTGCAAAACCTTGTTCCAGTCGGAATGAAAATATGATTATGTAAAAAATGGATGTCTGGATAAGTGAACTGAATCACAATTATTATTTTCAGAAAAACAAAAATTGAAAAAAGCATTCAAGAAAATTTATTGCAAAAGTATGAACATAGAAACATATTTCTTTGCACAAATCTTCATCCTTGAGCTCCATATATACATGACATATTACACATCATCATCAACAACACATACAATACTCACACCCATCTATAGCCACAATCAAATGTTAGACAATCATCCATTAGGTTTTCTAAAGCACAATGTCATTAAAATCACATTGCTACCAATAAACTTCAGCAGACGTGAAAATGAAGATCTCATTACAATGAGATGCCCCAAAGCATCTATGACTGCCAAAAAGTCCTTGACCATTCTTCCCCCATCATCACACTCACCCCCACCAAAAAGAAAGAATAGCCAGACTAGGGAACCATCTTCCAAAACAGACTTTTCCATTCTGTTCAAGATGGCACCTGCTGCAGAAGACTGACAATCATGTTGTGAATTTTGTTTTTAATACGAAGAGTTTGTTGTTGATCAATTCAGCAATAATTATTAGGGGTGACTGTTGAGGGGGAAACAACTATTGCGATAGTGATAGTCTATTTCGACCAACTATTGCAATAGTTTTTTTCCCCTGGTGAGTATTTTATCACACAGGTCCGTCAAAGAGATGGGTGGAACGTGACATAAGTGTCTGCAACAACACCATCTTTAACACTAGCATCTATCAAGTTTTGGTTTTACCACTCAACACCTATGAATGAATCACATACACAAAGACTATTATCGTAAGACACATTGGTGGTGTACAAGCACTTAATGCCAACTGAACAAGACATCAAATATAAGAGAATAATCAGAAAACACCATCTCTGTCGTTAACCCGGGAGAACAGGTTGGTGGTTCAGAGCCATGTTTGCGTCAAATCAAAAACCACTAAATGCTCTGTATTAAGGAATGAAATTAGGGCTGGCGGATAAGTCAGTATACTCTGAGTGGATATCCATTTAAATCACAGCATGGTATCTCACTGGGCTAGCACTACATAGCTGGCTTAAATCCACTCAAAAACAAGAAGGCTTTCATGTGCATGGACGCAGCGATAAACGTGCAGTATTCCTGAATATGATGTTACAACTGATTTAGCCCCACCTAACATTGTCAGACTACATGCACTTCTTGCACAATTATTTTAGGTCTGACAATATTATGGTAACAATCATTGAAAGCAGAAATGCATTTTGTCCTTAAATATTTAGTGGCAGACATTTATCACAATCATTGATAGGGGGGGTCCAGGGGTTCAAACACACACACACACCCCACCCCACACCCCCTTTTTGAAACTTCCTGGATCAGCCTATGACAAATCAACACTCTCCTCCATTAATCAGTTTGAGCATCTATCCACTTCACCTTGTTTTGCTTTTCAACGAAGCACTCAGCAATATCCTGTTAGTCACCATGCATGGGCGACAAGCATCATCATCATGCATCCATGGCTGAAGGTCAGCTCTAACTTTGATCTTCACAGGACATAAATCCAGATATATATCACACTCACATCTGTCACTAACATTCATATCTCTTGTGACCATCTCTGTTTAAGTAATAGACACATACACACCAATAACGGTCATATCCCAATTCCAGTTATGGAATTGTCTGAAAACTTCCATTCAAAGTTTTAATGCCTTATCTGTCATTCACATCAAACATGATAACACAATATATTACACCAGCATGACACACAATATAAATACACCCTGCCCCCACTCATATCGACCATTAACGCACACCATGCATTGGTTAGGTGAGGCGAGGTGAAATTGGGTTTTATGTCGTGCTTGAGAATATTTCGCTCATATGGCGTCGTGCATGCGTGTGTATATGTATGTGCGGCTGCTTGTACTAGCCCAGACTTAAGCTGGTTTTATAGTGCTAGCCCACTGAGATACCATGCCGCAGTGAAGCATGAATACCCCACTCAGACACATTACACTGACTCCGAGCCGACCAGTCTTTGTTGTACCCATTAATGCCGAGCGCCAGGCAGGAACCAACAAGTACCATATTTTAACGTCTTTTGGTATGACGCGGTCGGGGATCGAACCCGCGACCTTCCGCTCTCCGGGCGGACGCTCTAACCACTACACCACGGAGGCGGTCACACCATGTATTGGAGGCATATAACACAGCATATTGTTATCAGCAGATATTCACAAGAACATAGTCAGGGACTTCTCTAAACCTGCTTCCATGCCTATATTTGTCTGTAAGTTTGCAGCAAATATTAGTAAAAATATTCATATTGGAATTAAAAACCTGCACAATTTAATATGTTTCAGTAAAAACTAATGTCCCACCTTTGTAGTCTTGTGTCTGATAAGTACAAATAAAGGGAAAGGATTTCATTTTTCCACATAATTGCTTTCAACATACTGACAAATAGAATTTGAATTGAAGGAATTCAGAACTTGAAGAAATACCAGATTAAACATAAAAAAAACCATTTCCCCAGTTGGGCTGCCAAAGCCACTCGGCTCGGAATGCAAGAAGACCCTTACTGTAATGTTAGTATGCATGGTTAATAAAAATAAAAAATAACAGTGAGTGCAGGTCTCTGATTGGTTGAAACAATATATGGTTATATGGCAGTGTTCACGAATGGTGTTTTAAAATAACAGGACATTGGGTCCTGTAAGTTTCAGATGTCTGTCTGACCCATTGAAAATTCACAGGACCGGTTGTACACTTTTATCAGACTGTTGGCAAATTTGTCGGATTTGTCCGAGGGTCAGACGCTATTCGTGAACACTGATATGGGATGTGAAGCTCTGGAAACACTGTGGCCTTTTACTGTTGTAGAAGTTTTTGTCACTGTAATTGTTGCTGTCTGTAGTTGTCGTCATTGTCGTTAATCCAGTTTGAGCGCCATGTCTTCCTCCAGCTGTTTCAGATACAAGGAGTCATCAATGATAAAACTGAAACAAAGGGTAATGGTGGTCATACCATTTCTCATAGATTTGGCATACATCTGTCGTAAACAAATGGTCTGGTCTGGTCTGGTCTGCCGTCTGGTCTGGTCTGGTCTGCCGTCTGATCTGGTCTGCCGTCTGATCTGGTCTGGTCAGTCTGTTGTCTGGTCTGTCTGTCCGTTGTGTATAATGCCACATTCACAATATTTCAGGTTCAGGTAAACTCAAGAAATATAACCACTTACAGTCTAAAACTTTCAAAGTCTGAGACAAACACTTAATAGTGAGCTCTTTCCAGATTAGCCTTTGAGGGCTTGTCTCAAGTGGAGATGTTCTACCATCTCAATGACTGTACACAAAGTAGTCATTCATACATGGGATACATGTAACAACTACAGTGGACGCCCTCTAAACCAGCAGCCCTCCAATCCGGCATGCTCTCAATATCGGCACTAGAATTTGGTCCCAGTAGAAGCTAATTTATGATCATAAACCGCCCTCTAAACCAGCACACCCTCTATACTGGTTCACCCTCTATACTGGCACACCCTCTAAACCGGCACACCCTCTAAACCGGCACATCCTCTATACCGGCACACCCTCTATACCAGCACACCCTCTATACCGGCACACCCTCTATACCAGCACACCCTCTATACAGGCACACCCTCTATACCGGCACACCATCTATACCGGCACACCCTCTATACCAGCACACCCTCTAAACCGGCACACCCTCTATACCGGCACACCCTCTATTCCGGTTTATAGGTTTAGAGGGCTTCCACTGTAACTTTCCCTTACAGCCTCATTAACCTCATCATATGTGATAAACACCTACAACATGGGGGCAGTTTTCTATGAATTTTGTACTGGGACCTCTCATCCCCACGAAAAAACCCCAACTATGTTAGAGAATTTCAGCAAGATGAACTCACCTGAATGACAGCAGGAACTATGATAGCATAACTCACCAAGACAAGCTGACCTGTACCACACAAGGATCTATGTTAGCGTAACTCGTCAAGATGAACTCACCTGTTCGACAGCAGAAACTATGTTAGCTTGAAGACAAGCTGACCTGTACCACACAAGGATCTATGTTAGCGTAATTCAGCAAGATGAACTCACCTGTACAACAACAGGAACTATGATAGCATAACTCACCAAGACAAGCTGACCTGTACCACACAAAGATCTATGTTAGCGTAACTCGTCAAGATGAACTCACCTGTTCGACAGCAGAAACTGTACCACACAAGGATCTATGTTAGCGTAAATCAGCAAGATGAACTCACCTGCACGACAGCAGAAACTGTACCACACAAGGATCTATGTTAGTGTAACTCATCAAGATGAACTCACCTGTACAGCACATAACTCTACAATTACCACAGCACCAACTATACTAGCGCAACTCAGCTAGACTAACTCACCTGTACCACAACAATCCGAGGGGGGCAGTCCCAGCATGCCACAGTGCATGAGCATCAAGGGCCCACCAATATGGCGGAAAGTCAAACAGCTCCAGCAACAGCAAGGCATTGATTCCGACAACAACAGCAGCACATTTCCATACATAGCGCTGTTTCTTGTACTTCATGGCACACCAGATCAGCCATCCGAACATGTTTACCCCGCCTGCAACAACAACGCAGTCTCCATAAGTGTTCTCGCCTATCAGGACAAGGATATAAGTAAAGTTACTGCCAACAACTTGCACAGAAAACTGATATGTTTCCCTCAAGCGACATGGCTCCTTCAAGTCACCTGCTTTGCTAGTCCGAATGAACTGCATCATTTCAATTTACTTCCTACAATCACCAGCGGCTGAAGGGATGGTATAAATCCAGCTAGGGTCCATGCAGGTAGCAAAGGTACTGTAAGTCCCAATGGTCCCTAGTATGGTGATCTACCTTAGGTTGCTGGCCAAATTTGAAATCCAGTTTTAGAGTGAGTGAGTGAGTTTAGTTTTACGCCGCACTCAACAATATTCCAGCTATATGACGGCGATCTGTAAATAATCGAGTCTGGACCAGACAATCCAGTGATCAACAGCATGAGCATCGATCTGCGCAATTGGGAACCAATGACATGTGTCAACCAAGTCAGCGAGCCTGACCACCCGATCCCGTTAGTCGCCTCTTACTACAAGCATGGGTTACTGAAGATCAATATTCTAACCCAGACCTTCACAGGTACAGTTTTAGAGATAGATACTAGTTTTACTTCTTGTGTCTGTGATATTCTAGTTGGTTTTGCTGTCCTTCGTTGACAGGCTCTTAGTGATTTACATGTATTAATGGTGAAGTTAAAAAAACTACGATATGGTTGAAATATTGCCGATGAGACTCAAATTTTAACTCATTTAACTTTAACTCATGTCAGGTTACAAATCTCAGGCCTACTGACATTACATATCAAAATCAGTGCTTGATGTGCCTGGAAAATGAACGTTTCTTGTAAAATTCTTATTTCAAACATTTTAAGTAATCAGGGTGTCATTAAAGTTTCATCCTTAAAGACGAATTAAAGATGTTGAATCTTCAATTGAAAAATGAAATGCTATAAAGGGAGATAATGCACCTTGCGAAAACCTTTCTTCACCTGGGTAATATTTTGGCAAAGACAACTCACCAATGCCTAAATTCATCTTCATGTTGTAACCATAGTCAAACTTGATGAAAGCCAGATAGTAGATGTGTTGAAAGTAGATCAGGAGAAGGGTCACACCGACCAAGCACGGCCGCCATTTTACTTTCGTCCCCAGAATCCTGGACAAATTCAAATATCACCATCATCATCACCATCAAAATCATTATTATCATCATCATCATCATCATCATATTACCATCACCACCATCAACAATTGTATCAGCAGCAGCATCAAAATCATCACTGTCATCATAATCATCATCACCATCATCATATTACCATCACCACCAGCAGCAACATAATTGCCAGGTATTTTGCCACCCCCTCATCATCATCATCGTCATGACTACCACCACCACCACCATCAACAATAGTATCAGCAGCAGCATCAAAATCATCATTATAATCATCGTCATGACCACCACTTCGTCATCGTTATCATCATCATCACTAAATTATCCCTTATCACCATTAATTGTCATCAGTATGCAGTCATGTTGCTGTGTTCATTAACTATTTATTATTGCAAAAATAGCATGTTTCCTGTACAACATTTTAACTGCTGTATGAAACTGACATAAACAATTCTTGACTTGCACTTACCTGCAACTAAAGATGAACACGTTGTAAAGCACAATGGAAAAGGCAAAGAAATAGTCCATTTTCTGAAATAGACATCGTCTTTATCAAGTTTATGAAGATGGAAATATTAGTCCTCAAATAAAAGAACTGATTTTAAATAGATCAATTATGATAAAGTTCCTAACTCAGAATGAGGCACGTAATCACCAGAGCACAAAATCAGTGATATTAAGGGCTCAGCTCCTGAGGCATATAAAAACATTGACCTCCTCACAACTGGTAGACTAATTCATGTACTGCGAGTACCCCTCTGACAATTGTAAATTGACACACCTCCCATGGCTGAATGCTATAAAATGACTTCAGAAAGTGGTCAAATGTACCTTATGTTAAATTTAGGATAACACAAGTCATATGTTTTGTGTTCCATACCTCGGTGAAGTCGGTGTCTCTTGTATGGAAGACAGTGGACCATGTCCAAGCATTTACTGCAACCTGTAAACCATTGTGAACATTTTATCCAAATTATTAAATAACTTCATGTTTTACTCTAGATTCTTTAGTAGGGTGATAAGTGTACATGGTGTATTTTTACATCAAGTGTGAAAGTCTAGAAGGATTAGTGGTGTATTGCGACAAGTATGAAGCAGGGCCTAGATTTTCGAAGCTCTCTTAGCGCTAAGATAGTCGTAAGTGCCATACATTAACATAAACTTACGACTATCGTAGCTCTAAGAGAGCTTCGAAAATCTGGGCCCAGGGTTGGTGAATTGGCACAAACATCGCATCACATATATACATTGTACAAGCAGGGCATGTGCCACGCCAATGTCACCTGTAACCAAGGCAACACAGCAAAACACACCTGTAGAGTGAAGTGTCAGCTTACCACAGTCGCCACATACCAGACTTGGTACTGAGGACAGTAACCATGGCCACACAGAGAAACACACCTGTAAAGTGAAGCGTCAACCTACCACAGAAGCCCCGTGCCAGACGTAGTACTGAGAATGGCAACCATGGCAACAGTGAGACACACCTGTAGAGTGAAGTGTCAACCTACCACAAAAGCCCCGTGCCAGACGTAGTACTGAGAATGGCAACCATGGCAACAGTGAGACACACCTGTAGAGTGAAGTGTCAACCTACCACAGAAGCCCCGTGCAAGACGTAGTACTGAGAATGGTAACCATGGCAACAGTGAAACACACCTGTAGAGTGAAGTGTCAACCTACCACAGAAGCCCCGTGCAAGACATAGTACTGAGAATGGTAACCATGGCAACAGTGAAACACACCTGTAGAGTGAAGTGTCAACCTACCACAGCCGCCCCGTGCCAGACATAGTAGAGAGGAGAGGACCTGGACACCTGCGACCGAAACCTGACCAGCCCCAGGTGGGACAGTCCGTTGAGGATGGAGAAGAGAGTTGATGCAGGCTCCTGTACACCCAGGATGCGGACAAACGGCCACTAGTAACAGAAAGATTAAACTAGGACTGTCAAAAACATGTACTACATAGTTGATGTTTTTCAGTGTAATATGGTCATAACTGAAATCATGCGTTTTTCACTTAATGTTTTCCTTCCTTCAACATATTAAAGGCAATATTTATTGATAATTCATAATAATAATCTTGATGATATCAATTATCAAAAGCAAATATATAACAACAAAAAAATAAAGTAACTGCATGTAAAAGTTCTGAACCTGCCTAGGAAATTGTGTACAGATGGTCAGTGATTCAAACATCTAGATTCAAAGCTTTACATTCATAACATATCAGTGGGTGGTTTATCTGTATTGTTTTAAACAGATCAGTTATGGTTATTGCACAGAAGGATATAAATATATGCCAATCATTTTCCATAACCTTTATTTTGATAATAAACTTTAGGCATACTATGTACTGGTGACATTGACCTTTAACAAAAGGTTTCTATTTGTTTATATGCCACACATTCAATCCCTGCCAATGTCACAAACATTAAATATAATATGGGTTGGGGGATAGATGGGGGAGGGTTTTAAGTAAACATGTGTGTAAGTTTAGTTACATTTGGATGGCAGAGTTGGACGATACACTTATTTTGTAAATTTTCTTTCTGGCTGCCAACGAGGTTACTAGATAGGGAGGTTCAAAGTGTATCAAAGTGCCATACTGCAATACAGTGAGTGTTCTTTTAGAGGTTGATGCAGTCTTCATAACAAAATTGTGTAGAAATGGCATATTAATAGATTTGAAATTTCATTGGAAGATTTTGCGGTGTGGTTTTCTTGTAATCATCCGAGTAGGATAGTCGGATGGAGATTTATGACCCATTGATGTATCTGGGATGGTGAGGTAGCATATTGTTAAAGTGTTTGCTTGTCACGCTAAAGACCAGAGTACAATTCGTTGGTTTCACATTAATTTTCGACTCGCTGTGCGCATGCGTAGAGCGTGTAAATATATCCACTGGTCAACTTCCGGTTTGGTCGTATTAGCGATATCGTAAACACACTCTAAATAAATGCTGTATGAATATTATTTACGCGTGACAACTGTTCATAGTTGAGTACATACATCCATTTGCCTATGCTTTTCAATAATTGATGTCCTATTTTGGTGCATTGCATCAGAGATGTGTTTTTTTACTTGTGAGAAGGGGATGTGCAGGAAGGACGGTGGACGGGTGGTGGTGAGATGTGTTTATACAAGAGCTTGTTAACAAACGTTAAGCTATTTATTTAACTAATTCCGGTCCCTTCCATTCATAAATGAATTGAGATCAGTTAACCTCGACATAAAACCATATATTTGTTTTGATTTTTGCTTTCTTTAGAGTGTGTTTACACTATCGGTAAAGCTTACAACCAAAGCGCAAGTTAGCCCGTGGATATTTTTACACGCTCTGCACATGCGCAGAGCGAGTCGAAAATTAATGTGAAACCAACGAATTCCCAACAAGAGTACTATGTGTGAAGCCTATTTCTCGTCCCCCACCACGATATTGCTGGAACACTGCTAAAAGCGGCATAAAACTAATCTCACCCAAACCTCCTGAGTGGGTGGGTTTTTAAAAACTTGCAGTAGATCTTATTCCCCAATGATTTCTATCCTTACCTTCCCATGAAACTGTGGAACTCCACTTCCATCACGTCCAAAAGCATCCACAGTGGACCACATGCAGTCATATTTACATTCATCGATACAATTCCAGTGCAATAACTGAAGATGATATGGTTGTTTCTGAAGAAACGTGTCTACATCTGAACAGTTGGCAGTGTAACAGTTCCTCACACACCTCTGATAAAACCAGGATCTGTCGCCGGCAGAAGCCTCTGCCGAGTTGACGTACATCAGCGACACGGCTACCACTGAAATAATACTGGCATACATTGTCTGTCAACGCGCTGATCCAGAAATTCTTGTGTTAATATTTCGTGTTCTGCCAACCAACACCATCCGCATTAAATATTTATCCAGGAAAGTCAATTCTGAAGTTCAAACTCATATAAGACAAGACGCGCAAATTAATCAATACATTTATGTAGAAATCCATACAGTCGGTTTGCGAGAAATGTCACATGGATATTTGGTGCTCCTGTTAGCCGACATTACCTATTGACCTACTTCTAGCTACTGTTTAGCGGTCTGTTCGATCGTATACAGCGTGACAACCGCTTAGCATGGGTCATAACATGTCAACAACCTTATTTTGTAAACAGATTACTGGTTTCCGAAACTGTATTTTGCACACGTTTGGTCGTTCGACCTGAAGTGAAAAGTCCATGTTGACAATAACGTGCACGTTCGCTCATGGGAGTTACCTCCCTTCCAAAACATTTTCAATATGCTATTTTCACTTCGACTGTACGGGATCTAGTCAAATATAAGTCTCTGACGGTGTAATTTTGAGTGAAAAATGGCGGCCATCTTGAATTTTCAAAGCCTCTCTATTTGTATATTACCTTTATAGTACAAGCATCATATCTGCCCTAATTCATGCATCTTGTATGAAAATTGTGGAATATACATGTAATCTAAGTCTCTGACGGTGTAATTTTGAGCGGAAAATGGCAGCCATCTTGAAAAATGGTGGCCATCTTGAATTTTCAAAGCCTCCCTATCTGTATATTATCTTTATACTACAAGCATCATATCTGCCCAAATTCATGCATCTTGTATGAAAATCGTGGAATTTACATGGAATCTAAGTCTGTGCAGAGACCATATAATAGATTTATTATATGGTCTCTGGTCTGTGACGGTGTAATTTTGAGTGGAAATTGGCGGCCATCTTGAATTTTCAATGCCTCCCTATCTGTATCTTATTTTTATAGTATAATCAACATATCTGCCAAATTTCATGCTTGTAACATGAAAATGCATAATTATACCATTATCCGCTGTACTAAAATGAGCCGAAGGACAAAAGGGCCGAGAAGTGCCAAGTCAAATGGGCCGTTGTGAAACTCAAATGGGCCGTGAACAAATGTCAAAAGGGCTTTATTCTGAGTCATATGGGCCGAACAATTATTATGTAATTTATTTAATTAATATTTTTCGGCCCTTTTTTACTTTGATTTCGGTCCATTTGACTTATGGCCACGGACCATTTGACTTTTTTTCGTCCCTTTTGTCTTTCGGCCCATTTGACTACAACCAGACTGTACGTCTCTGTAACAAGAATCATTATATCTACATTCTCGTTTAATTTGAAACGTAAACTAAAATATCCGGGGGAGAACTCTTGTTTTGGACTCCTGGACACATGTTATTATTTATTCAAAATTGTGAAGACACATTATTTTGAATACGACAACTTTAGTTCTGTGGTAGTCTGTCTCACAGTCCCTGAACCACATTATTTTCCCTACTGTCAAGCCTTCTCTTCAGTGCTAAAGCACTTACTGAAGCAAGTCTAGATTTCCTCAGGTTCAGGTAGTGACCCCAGCACGTGTAGCCCCAATGCAGATGTTCTTAGTCTCTGAATCTCTGGTCTCCCTGGGGCTCCTTTTCAATTTAAATGGGCTTGTTTGTTAGTATCAAAATTATATATATTCAGGGACTAAGCATTAGGCTAGTTCTGTGGTGAAACGTAAACCAATAGATATGTGAAGAGGGTGGCTGCCTACGGGATTGTACCACAGGGAACCAGAGTGTCTGGAATCAGCCTTAAGACAACCATCAGCTACGGCATGGGAGAAACGCCAGCGCACCACATGAGGTCGACATCTATTAGGGGGGCGGTGGGGTAGCCTAATGGTTAAAGCGTTCGCTCGTCACGCCGAAGACCCGGGTTCGAATCCCCACATGGGTACAATGTGTGAAGCCCATTTCTGGTGTCCCCCGCCGTGATGTTGCTGGAATATTGCTTAAAGCGGCGTAAAACCAAACTCAGTCAGTCAGTCAGTCAACATCTATTAGAACACCAGGTGGTACAGGTCTCCACGTCAGCAAGTTCAGTTTTGTTGTTTAACGCCCCACTCTGCAATATTACAGCTATATGGCTGCGGTATGTATATAATCGAGTCTGTACCAGATAATCCAGTGATACATGTTTTAAGACTTGTATGGTTAAGGTGGACCGTAAGGCAGAAGATTCAAAGTTAAACATTTTACATATCATCCTCGTCTGGACCAGATCAACAGCATCAGCATCGATCTACTCAATTGGCATACGATGACATGTGTCCACCAAGTCAGCGAGCCTGACCACCCGATCCCGTTAATCCCGTAGCCATATATTGATCAGGCTTCTCCGTACTCTCCCAATCGGGGTATCCAGGAGTGTATTTTGTTAGTAATTCTCTCTACATCAATATTGATGTAGTGGATGCGTGGCGGAATGGCCGTTTATTGAGTGTCGGAAACACTAGACACCTGTAGTACTACAGCACAGTGTGTGTATCAATACATGTGTGAAGTTGGTGGAGCCTCAGCACCTGTATACAACAAACTGTGATATCAGCTGTCATCTCTGGATAAGTGGTAACTAAATCTCCTTGCCAAGCTGGGTAAGTGAACATCAAATTGTTATTCTTTCGTTTTACTACATCCAGAGTTGACTGTACTTGTAAAATAACTCTCAATAAAATATATTAACTGGATTTCGGAGTTTTCATAAGTTATTTTCTTAACATTTTGTTTTGTTTGTTTGTTGTTTAAGTCTGCACTTAGCAATATTCTAGCTAGATTGCGGCGTTCTGTAAATAATCGAGTCTGGACCACACAATCCAGTGATCAACAGCATGAGCATCGATCTACACAATTTGGGATACAATGACGTGTCAACCAAGTCAGCGAGCCTGACCACCCGATCCCGTTAGTCCCGTAGCCATATTGATCAGGCTTCTCCGTACTCTCCCACTCGGGATATCAAGGAGTGTATTTTGTTAGTAATTGTGATTATTTCCAAAGTCATATATTTTCAAACTAAATGAAAGCGCGGCTGTTGGATTATATTTTTTACTTTGTTCTGTCGTCAGGCTAGCGAGTTTAAGTTCTAACACTGCTGGCGCCTGAAGCGAAGCCCTGATATCTTCAGAATGTGTATGAACAAGCTCAGAATCAAATATAGTAATCTGTCTGCAAGGTCGTATCTTACAAAGGGATTTACTAATATAAATAAACAGTGATGCACGAGTACATAACGCCTTTTAGAAAGTGAGTGAGTATGGTTTTACGCCATTTTTAGCAATATTCCAACAATATCACGGCAGGGGACACCAGAAAAGGGCTTCACACATTGTACCCATGTGGGGAATCGAACCGGGTCTTCGGCGTGACGAGCGAACGCTTAAACCACTAGCTAGGCTACCCATCGCCGAAGGTGTAATGACGACAGTTGTCTCCCAGAGAAAGTAGAGAGTTACAATTGTGATTAGACTTTCTGAGTACTATACAAATTGTTCTGGTTTGTGTGTGTGTGTGAGAGAGAGAGAGAGAGAGAGAGAGAGAGAGAGAGAGAGAGAGAGAGAGAGAGAGAGAGAGAGAGAGAGAGAGAGAGAGAGAGAGAGAGAGAGAGAGAGAGAGAGAGAGAGAGAGAGAGAGAGAGAGAGAGAGAGAGAGAGAGAGAGAGAGAGAGAGAGAGAGAAATACCAATATGATAATAGCACCAACAATTTTAACTCAAAACTAAAGGTGAAATTATGAAATATTACCGGGTAAAAGACAAGTTAGGACATGCACGAGTTTACATTGTTTGTATATTTGAGCGCAATTAAAAATTAACAACTATGCGAAGATTAGTTTCATTTAAAAACTGACTTTGATTTAATTTATCTGTGTGGGGGTTTAAACATGAAAACCGGATTTCACCGTGTAAATGCGCGCATATCGGATTTAATATTTTTACCCCACTGCATATAAATAAATGTAAAAGTCATTTCTCATAAATTATTCAACAATTACCACATACTGCTTATTTGAGCATTAGCGAAAACAAAACAATATTGCTACATACGTCCCACCCCCTCAATTATCAGCCTGTCGTTATAGGGCGTGGCCTATTCTGATCAGGTTTTCGGAAAAACAATTGCTTGATCAGCGAATCAAATCACATGGAATAGCTTTCAATATTTCGTTACTTTGAATGAACGATGCCTGAAAGAAACTTTGACAGCTTAATAAATTGATTTAATCAAAAGCTTCCATTTCTGCAGGAGATGACTGCTGATAAATATGTAATATATCATTAGTTGCTCAGAAGCTACTATGAGAAGCCATTTATGTCTCACCTTTCGCGATTGGATAAAATATAAACGGTCAACCAATCGCCATCCCCGACATAAAAAGGGGAATACGGAAGCACTTTGTTGTAATGACACAACAAGCACCTGCCAAATAACGATGGAAGGACGATTCGAAAGAAGAATGTTTTTTGGACAAAAACAATGAGACAGTGGTGATCACAGACTCAAAGGTAGAAAAATTTCTATATTTCATTCTGTAATATTCATACGATATGTTTAATTCTGGATGCCACGCTAAACAAATAGATAAATTGGCCAAAACATTTAAAATATCTTAACCCAGATTGGGATCAAGTTTCAAACTCCGAATCAAGATGGGCAGACCGTTGCAGTCAAAAGGGGTGACTCATCTTTTCAATTCACAACGGCAGATATTTTTACAAATAATGTGTCAAATCATCGTCAGAACTGAATTTGGTGGTCAGAATGACAAGATTCATAGATCACTGAATCTCATGATTGTGAATTACTCTTGGATCACAAAAACAATTAAGACAATTGTGAGTTAAAATATTCTTCTTCTAAGTTTCAAATGTTCGTATTTGAACGTGTCCGATTACGGGATTAGCATGGTTAATGGTTAGGAGGAAGCATCAAGATGACATCTCACTGTACATGTGTTTCACCACTCAGTGGTCTCAGACAACTGACGCGTGACACTGAAAGCTATAATTGACTTGATTCTGCTTGAGACGCTCCCTCAATCGCCGTACGGTCTCGTCGCTAAGTGATTTTATTTCCCCAAACAGTTCAAACCGATACCTGTCTGGCGAATGTCATATCGAAATTGATTTAATTAAATGTATTATGTACCTCTAAATACGTTCAAAATGCAGGATATAATCAGATGATTATCTGGAACTGTTGTTATCAGCTTGTCATATGCCATATAGCGGGTATTGTTCATATTTCATTTGACTGAGGTCAAGTATTTGATTTTTTTTCAAATATACCTAATTGAACAAGAGACCTATGGTTCCCTGTGCTGTTTCCATTCTTCAAAATTCAGTGTAATGCATATATTGGAAATCAGACACTATGTATTCAATACCTGCCATTGTGTCATTCTAT